TGATAGTTGCAATAAGTCGACGTGGAAGCTCGACTACAGATTAAGTTGAAGTGGATGAATCTGGATCAGATCAGATTGGGAAGGAATAGAAAGTGATTTCAGAGAACAATAAAACGACTGAAGACACATCGGTGCATGGTGGTTGTTTCCATAGGTACACATGGTGTGCTCATACGACTCGTGTACCATTCCCACTTTACGTGTTCAGTTTCGTTATAATCCTTGGATTTGCTTTTCCGTTCACGTCAGCTCCGCTTGGAACTCTCTTCTCAGAAATACTTGGACCACGGCCACAGGTTAATGAAACGTCGTTTCCGTCGTCTGTCATCGATAAAAAGTTGTTTCTTTTGAGTTTTCATTGTGGCCATTATGATTGTTGAAGGGTTTGTGCAACATCGCTTAGTGAACACTTCTAGAATGTGCTGCTGACATGACTTCATTAGTCAATCGCGATAAAAATGAAACACTTTAATTACTTGCGATAAATTTATTGATGTGATCGCTGATATCGATCAAATTAAAGTTGGCTGATTTCAGGGCTTGATGCAAGGAATATTCGAATTTGGTGCTTGCATTGCACGCTGTGTCTCGCCGATTGTTTTGACGTGAGTTTTCCTTGAGCACATTAAACGAATTCACATCAAATTACCTAATGAGCTTATGCATTTGCACTAGCCATCATTAAGGTGAATAATGCGCACCATATCAAGCAGCTCAGTCATAATGGATTTCATATGCTAGTTTATGATTAACTTTAATGTTTTTACTATGACCTATTGAGTTCTTCAACATTACCTNGGCTATCAAACGTTTGTAACGTTGTTGGCCACAATGCTCACGTTACCGTGCACATTGTTTTAGCCTCAGTTATTCAACAAATAATACATTAATTCTTAATCGGCAATCGTTATGATAGCTATCGCGTTGTTGAAGAATTCTATTCGAATCAACTGGATACATTTGGACCACAGTGATGCATATGGGACTACTCGCATTTGGAATGTTTTTGCTGATCATTTTCTATCGACGGATGGTACCACTGAAAATGCCACGAAGAATCGATGTTGCAGTAATTCAAGCCGATGATCCAGATAAAGGATCGTAAAATGAATGATTATCACTCGACTGAAGTGAATGCAAATTGCGATTGCATTTTGAGCATGAAATTGTGTAACCATTTGTAATTTACGTGCAACATTGTTCCCATCAGAAAGAACACTGATCGTAAATTCGCGTAATTTTTACATTATCTTAAATGTGTACAATCAATTCTCCCCAATTTTATATGGAAGACATTTGCAGCAGTACAAACTGTGTGTCTTCAATTTAGCGACAAACAGCATTTCACAGACAGAAATTTTTGGTTGTTGAAGATATTATCCCAGGATTTCCGATGTATTTCATAAAATATTTGGAATTGATCAAAAACTAACTATAAGCAAGTAGCTTTCTCTTTTTGCCAACTCACTATCACAAAAATGCTGATAGAATTGGGATAATTTTCAAAAACCAGTTCTTTGTTATCACTGTAGATTCATGAGCAAATAAATCTCTTTAGAATCGAATAAATGGGAATCATTATTCATATTTTTTCAACCGTTTTTTTGGTGTCTGTGTATTATGTGACGATTTGTCAAAGGTGATAATAAATGACGATAAGAGATTTCATTTGATTCTGTAACCGACGCTTAGACATTCATATGTGGTGATGAACGGAACGGAAAAACCACAGTCACAGTTGTACACATTTCATCCGTTTCCCCTCACGCGACTTTAGCGACTGCTGCCGAGGGCTGGTCATGAAGTTGGCGCATAACGGATTTTCGACGAGTTGTTTCAAATGAGGAGCGTGCAAGATCGTTCTATAAAGTGTTACATGATTACGATTAATGATTACGATGGAAATGGAAAGCGAATCATCCTTAGCAAGCAAATGATTAGATCAGTCAAGAAGTACTGCTTACGACGCGGATAACTGTACTGAGTCTGTGGACATTAGTTGCAGGATGAGTAAGTTTCACAGCTCGATCAAATCTCAACAAACGACAGATACTTCTTCTTACGACGGCTGAACTGAGAAGCAGGACCCACGGACTGCACATAAATAACGCATCCATTAGTGGATATCTGCAATAATAAGGTTGCCGGGGTGCACATGCCATGCAATTCATGTTCACGAACTTCTACTAAATTTAATCGAAAGGTGATTCATTGTGATTCCACTGTAGCAAGGCAGCGATTGGAAGGATCCGATAAAGTTATGTATGGTTACTGAAAATGCATAAGAAAGTGAACGAATGAGTGATGCTACTAACGTTATATCATTAATGATATCAACAATGCTCAAATTATCAGCCATTATAATTGATAATATTTGAGCGATTGCATTCAGGGTCAGAACGAGGAACTCAATAATAGCACATAGCAATAAACGTATTTCAGCGTGCAAGCTGTTGTTCGATACAACGTTCTGAAATTCAGGTCATTGCATTCAGTCTGACATCATGAACATCGATCATTACCCTTAGATGTGCTCTACATCGTCACAACGAATTCACGTCGGCGACACAGCTGAGAGTGGAAATTTCAAGAATGACTCGAGCCGTCATCATGCATTGGAAAACAACTCACCTGCTTACTACGAGACAGAATCACCATGATGGCTGCATACAATATAGCGCATATTATTGTTGCAGCAAGACAAAAGCTGCCATCGATGTAGGCAATTATCTGCAATATCACACAAACTGCTATCGTTGATTCAAGTTTTTTATTAGTAGCAATGAGAGTATAAAGAATCGCTTGCATACAGTTGTTGAAATGCTGTCTGTTGTCAGTCTTATGGTAGACTGATTAACATGCACTCTGTACGTGATCTCATATTCTGGATTGAATGCAGCTGGCAAAACAGCTGCCATTGGCAACGTCCACTGCGCCAACCACAGTATCCACAGACGTCGTCTACGCCATATCTAAATAACATTTTAAGCTTATAAAATCTAAAAGTGCATCGTCAAATGAAAAGGTATTCAGAGGAAACGATCGACCCAAAATCTTGATTGTATTTATTCCTGTTACTACTTCCTCGCTTCGTTCATC